ATGGATAAATTTCTGGACACATACACCCTCCTAAGACTAAAACAGGAAGAAGTCAAATCCCTGAATAGACCAATAACAAGTTCTGAAATTGAGGCAGTAATTAATAGCCTACCCACCAAAAAAAAAAGCCCAGTACCAGATGGATTCACAGCAGAATTCTACCAGAGGTATAAAGAGGAGCTGGTACCATTCTTTCTGAAACGATTCCAAACACTTGAAAAAGAGAGACACTTCCCTAACTCCTATTGTGAGGCCAGCATCATCCTGATACCAAAACCTGTCAGAGACACACACAAAAAAGCAAATTTCAGGCCAATATCCCAAATGAACATCGATGCAAAAATTCTTAATAAAATACTGCCAAGCCAAATCCAGCAGCACATCAAAAAGCTTATGCACCACAATAAAGTCAGCTTCATCCCTGGGATGTAAGGCTGGTTCACCATATGCAAATCAATAAACATAATCCATCACATAAACAGAACCAATGACAAAAACCACATGATTATCTCAATATATGCAAAAAAGGCCATAGATAAAATTAAACACCCCTTCATTCTAAAACCTCTCAATAAAGTAGATATTCATGGAACTTATCTCAAAATAATGAGAGCTATCGATGACAAATCCACAGCCAATATCATACTGAAAAGGCAAAAGCTAGAATCATTCCCTTTGAAAATCGGCCCAAGACAAGGATGCCCTCTCTCATCATTCCTATTCAATATAGTATTGAAAGTTCTGGCAAGGGCAATCAGGAAACAGAAAGAAATAAAAGATATTCAAATAGGAAGACAGGAAGTCAAATTGTCTCTGTTTGAAGATGACATAATTGTATATTTAGAAAACCCCATCATCTCCACTCAAAAAATTCTTAGGCTGATAAGCAACCTCAGCAAAGTCTCAGGATACAAAATCAATGTGCAAAAATCACAAGCATTTCTACACACCAATAATAGACAAGCAGAGAGCCAAATCATGAGTGAACTCCCATTCACAGTTGCTACAAAGAAAATGAAATACGTGGACTACAACTTGCAAGGGACATGAAGGAACTCTTCAAGGAGAACTACAAACCACGGCTCAAGGAAATAAGAGAGGACACAAACAAATGGGAGGAAAAAAAATCCATTCTCATGGATAGGAAGAGTCAATATTGTGACACTGGCCATATTGCCCACAGTAATTTATAGATTCAATGCTATTCTCAACAGGCTACGGTTGACTTTCTTCGGATAATTATAAAAACATAGTTTAAATTTCATATGGAACCAAAAAAGAGCCCATTTAGCCAAGACAATCCTAGGCAAAAAGAACAAGACTGGAGGCATCATGCTACCTGACTTCAAACTGTACTACAAGCATACGGTAACCAAAACAGCATGGTACAGATACAAAAACAGATGTAATGTAACAGAACAGAGGCCTCAGAAATAACATGATACATCTGCAACCATCTGATCTTTGATAAACCTGACAAAAACAAGCAATGGGGAAAGGATTTCCTATTGAAAACTGGGTAGCCATATGCAGAAAACAGAAACTGGACCCCTTCCTTATACCTTACACAAAAATTAACTCCAGATAAATTAAAGACTTAAACATAGAACCTAAAACCATAAAAACCCTAGAAGAAAACCTAGGCAATACCATTCAGGACACAGGCATGGGCAAAGACTTCATGACTAAAACACCAAAAGCAATGGCAACAAAAGCCAAAATTGAAAAATGTGATCTAATTAAACTACAGAGTTTCTGCAAAGCAATAGAAACTATCATCATAGTGAACAGGCAACCTATGGAATGGAAGAATATTTTTGCAATCTATCCTTCTGATGGAGGTCTAATATCCACAATTTATGACGAACATAAACAAATTTGCAAGAAAAAAACGAACAACTCCAACAAAATGTGGGTGAAAGATATGAACAGACACTTCTCAAAAGTAGACATTTATGTGGCCAACAAGCATATGAAAAAAAAAAAAAGCTCATCATCACTAGTCATTAAAGAAATGCAATTCAAAACCACAATGAGATACTATCTCACACCAATTAGAAAGGCAATCATTAAAAAGTCAAGAAACAACAGATGCTGGTGAGGTTGTGGAGAAATAAGAACACTTTTACACTGTTGGTGGAAGTGTAAATTAGTTCAACCATTGTGGAAGACAGTGTGGCAATTCCTCAAGGATCTAGAATTAGAAATACCATTTGACCCAGCAAACCCATCGTTGGGTATGCACCCAAAGGATTATATATTATTCTACTATAAAGACACATGCACACGTATCTTTACTGCAGCACTATTTACAATAGCAAGGACTTGGAACAAACCCAAATGCCCAAAAATGATAGACTGGATAAAGAAAATGTGGCAAATATACACCACGGAATAGTATGCTGCCATATAAAAGAATTAGTTCATGTTCTTTGCAGAGACATGGAAGGAGTTGGCAGCCTTCATTTTCAGCAAACTAACAAAGGAACAGGGAAAAAAAATCACCAAATGTCCTCACTTATAAGTGGGAGATGAACAATGAGAACACATGGACACAGGGAGTGGAATATCAAACACTAGGGCCTGTCAGGATTGGGCAGCAAGGGGAGGGAGAACATTAGGACAAATGCTTAACATATGTGGGGCTTAAAACCTAGATGATAGATTAATAGGGCAGGAAACCACCATGGCACACATATACCTATGTAACAAACCTGCACATTCTGCATATATATTTCAAAACTTAAAGTAAAATTTAAAAAAAAAAAAAGAATTTTGTTTGTTTACTTTTTGCATTGCCATTGTTGAGTTGGTGCAGTTACTTATATACTCTGGATATTTATCCCATATCAGACACATGATTTTCTAATATTTTCCAAATCCAAGGGTTGTCTTTTCACTCTATTAAAAGTGTTCTTTGATGCACAAAATCTTTTAATTTTGATGAAGCACAACTTACCTATTTTTTCTGTTGTTACCTATAATTTTGGTGTCATATCCAATAAATCATTGCTAAAGCCAGTGCAATAAAGATTTTCCCCTATATTTCTGCAAGTAATTTTATAGTTTCAGCTGTTATATTTAGGTCTTTGATTCAGGTTCAGTTAATTGTTATTAATGATGTAGGCAATGGTTCAACCGAATTATTTTCATGCAGCTATGAAGTTCTCCCAGTATGCTTTGTTGAAAATACTGTCGTTTCCCCATGGAATGGTGATGGCTCTTTTTGGAAAATTATATAGTCATTCAGGAGAAGATTTTGTTTTTCTTTTTTTTTTCTGGGCTCTATATTCTACTCATTTGGTCTTCCTGTCATTTTGTCAGTACTACACTCTTGATTACTGTTGCTTTACAGTTCACTTTCAAATCAGGAAGGATGAGTCCTCCCACTTCTGTTTCAAGGAAGGCTATTTTAATGCTTCAAGTTTAATGAGATTTAATATTAATTTGGGAAGTGTTTTTCAATTTTTGCAAAAAAAAAAAAATACCATTGGAATTGTAATACGAATTACATTGAATCTGAAGAAGACTTCAAATAGTATGGTCATCTTAATACTATGAAGTCTTCCAATCCATGAATCCTATTTGTGTTTCTATTAGTTTATGTCCTCTTTATTTCAACAATGTTTTGTAGATCTCATTATACAAAACATTCACCTCTTTGCTTTCCTACTCTGAAAAAGAAATTCCATTCTGTTACCCCAAATCAAAAGATGAGGTAGTAAGCATTTCCATACTAAAATATTTTTGTAAAAGATTCAAAAATGTTTTAAAAAGATTCTGGAGGCATCAAGTTACCTGACTTCAAACTATAATGCTACAGTAAACAATACAGCATGGTATTGGTACAAAGAGACACATATACCAATGGAACAGAACGGAGAGCCCAGAAATAAAGTCTCACAACTACAACAATCTGATCTTCAACAAAGTCAACAAAAACAAAAAATGGAAAAAGGACTCGCTATTCAATAAATAGTGCTGGGAAAACTGACTAGCCATATGTAGAAGATTAAAGCTGGACCTTTTCCTTACACAATATACAAAAACCAATTGAAGATGGATTAAACATTTAAATGTAAAACCTAAAACTATAAAAACCCTGGGAAAATATTTTTCCAAAATATTTGGACATAGGACTATTCTGGACATTGGCATGGGCAAAGATTTCATGATGAAGATGTCAGAAGCAATTGCAACAAAAACAAAAATTGACAAATGAGACCTGAATAAACTAAAGAGTTGCACAGCAAAGAAACTAATAGAATAAACAGACAACCTACATAATTGGAGGAAATATTTGCAAACTATTCATCCAACAAATATCTAATATCTTGAATCTATAAGAAACTTAAATTAACAGACAAAAAATAAAGAACCCCATTCAAAAGTGGGCAAATAACATGAATAGATGCTTTTCAAAAGAAGACATATATGTGGCCAACAAGCATATTAAAAAATGCTCAATATCACTAACCATTAGATAAACTCAAATAAAAACCTCAGTGAGATACCAACTCACCCCAGTCAGAATGCCTACTATTAAAAATTCTAAATATAACAGATGCTGGCAACGTTCCAGAGGAAAGGGATTGCTTATACACTGCTAGTGGGGATGTGAATTAGTCCAGACATTGTGTAAAGCTGTGTGGTAATTTATCAAAGAACTTAAAACAGAAGCAGCATTCAACCCAGCAATCCCATTATTGGCTATGTACCCAAAGAAATATAAATTTTTCTACCATAAAGACACATTACACATTTGTTCACTGCAGCATTATTCACAATAGCAAAGACATGGAATCAACCTAAATGCCCATCAATGGTAGACTGGATAAAGGAAATGTGGTATATATACACCATGTAATACTACGCAGCCATAAAAAAAGAAGAAGATAACGTCCTTTGCAGTAACATGGATAGACCTGGAGGCCACTATCCTGACTGAACTAATACAGGAACAGAAAGCCAAACACCACATGCTCTCACTTATAAGTGGTAGCTAATCATTTAGTACACAAGAACACAAGGAAGGGAACAGACACCAGGGCCTACTTGAGGGTGAAGGCTAGGAGAAGGGAGAGGATCAAAAGACTACCTATCAGGTGCTATGTTTATTACCTGAGTGATGATGTAGTCTGTACACCAAACCCCCATGACATACCCGTATAACAAACCTGCACATGTACCCATGAACCTGTATAACAAATCTGCAGATGTATTCATGAACCTAAAAGTTGAAAAAAATTAAAATTTGAAAAAAATGAACAAAAGAATATGTCCACACATATTTGAATGAATAGAGATGACTGCCTGCCCTTCATAATTCATGTCTCAATAATATTTAAAAATGTATTTGCCCCGCCCCAGTCATTTTGAATGGGGGCTCTATGTTCCAAGAGATCACTCCCCAGTGGGGCTGGGGATTCAATATTATTTTGTCCACGTCCCTCCTTCAGTAAATGTCCCTGCATCTCTCCCTGACTGCAGAGCCAGCTCTCCTAGTCGGGGGTAAGGGGGTGAGATGAAGAAGTGTCATAGCAAAGGAGGACAGGGGCATGTGGGACAGGGTGGTCTAGGGGTCCCGTCCTGCGGAGCCTTCCTGCCCTATCTGACCTGACCCCTTAGCCTGAGTCTGAATCACTGGTGTCTGAAGAAGGGGACGATGAGGAGGAGGAGCTGGAATCTGAGCTTGAGCTAAGGCATGACACTGCTACTTGCTGTGCAGAGGATGACTCTGTTTTCTCACTCACTTTCTTTGGGGGACTTTTTAGGGGAATTGAGTTGTCTGCTGACATCTTGTAACCACTTTTCTAATTCCTGCTTTTTCTCCAAAGTGAGTTCCTCCTTTGTCTGTCCCACAGACTTCTTAATGGTATAGGGCCTCCGGGGTTTCTTACGTATGCAGGAAAGGACATAGAGCTCAAGCTTTCTAAGTGTGGATGGCTTGAGTGTTTCAGAACCAATCTCAATCTCTTCTGAGTTTCAACCACGTAAAGAGGGCTCCCTGGCTTGGATTATATGCACAACTCAGCCCAGCTTCTCCCCAGGTAATTCGCTGATGTCCAGGCTCAGCTGCCACTTCTCATTGTAAGTCATGGGACTGCTCTCTTCCTCCTCCTCTGAATCATAACCCTTAGGCAGGGCAGGTGGGGTTGACTTTGTGGCCTTTTTGGGGAGCTTGGTGCCACTTCCTCCAGAAGGTCCAAAGCCAGGAGGGCCTAAAGCAGCACTGCCACCCCCACTACCACTTGCTTTCTTGGACTTCTTGGGCTAAGGTGGGCGGGATGCCCAAGGGCCCTTGTCATCTTCATGAGCCCCAGCTCCGTCTCAATGCTTCCCTGCCTTTTGTTTCTTACTTTTCTCTTTTTTCTCTCTTTTGCTCTTGGGCTTGGATATTGGATCCTGACACAGACCAACCAGTTGTTCATGTACTGCCCAAAGCTGTTCCTGTAGTTCTGCTAAGCCATGAGCCCTTTCTTCCTTTAAGTCTGAGCTTTAGCTCTCTTCTTCTTCCTCCTCGTCCTCCTCATCTTCCTCCTCCTCTTCCTCAGAGGAGCTCTCACTGCTACTTTCCTCACTGGAGGACTCTGAAGATGATTTGGCCAAGCCAAGGGGCATGGCAGTAGAGACTGGTAAAGGCCCTGGTTCCAGTGGTTCATCTGGCATCTTGGCATAACGGAAACAAATACATCCTGTAGCTTTCGTGCCACTACCACAAAATCTGGGGGTGATCTGGGGGACTGTACTTATAGCAGTTGGAAAACATAAGCAGTACATCAGCAGCAAACTCCTGTGCATCTCGGTAATCAGGGTTCTCCATTTTCTGCCACACAAGGAGGCAGCATCAGAAGCTGCATAGGCAGGAAGACTCACCTTTCCCTGCTAACCTCAGACACCACAAAGAGGAGCCCTCTCTTGAGAGCACAGTGGGGATGACCTTAAGGATCTGTGCCCTGGGGTTCAAGTTTGAGGTCAAAGGAATTGGGGTGGGTTAAAGAAATATTTATGTCTAGAAAACGAAGTAATTTCTAAGCAACAAGGGGGGAGGGGAGGTCTATGACTGTTTTTCCACCCCATAACTTCCTTAACCCAACACTGCCACATCATTAGTACTTAATTGTAGATAGATAGTATTGTTCTCAAGACAAAGAAACCCCACCCTATTGTTTCAAACTCCAGGAAATATGAATTCTCAAACACCAGACCTTCTGTCCCACTACTATTTTATAAAAGTAAAATACCAAGAACCAAAGACTGCTGTGTGCCTACATGAGACTTACTGTTTTGCACCTAGGTTCCCATCACTGCCTGAGCATCCCATCTGCCCCATGCAGCGGGTACCTTGACATTGCTGAGGTCCATGGGGTGCCTCATGATGTCGTGGTAGTTACGCAGGCCAAGTGCAGAAGCATCCACTGGTTTATACAAAGGCCAAGCATAGGCTGCATGCTTCTTAGAGAGTAACTCCTTCAATATGCCATTGCAATGTTTTAATTGTTCTGAAAGCTTTCCTTTCTTAGAGCTCTGGTCTTGTTGCTGATATGTCAGGCAAGTCTTTGCGTGCAGGCTTGATGGGGGCATGCGGGAACCCGTGCTACCTTATGCTCAAGACTCCCAGGATGGCTAGCTGGGGAACCAGGAGCCAGGATGGCTGTAGGTGTAGGGGTGGTAGTAACTGCTTTCCGCTTTATACCTTTTTTCTTGGCAAGGGGTTGAGCTGGAGGAGCTGCAGTAACAGCAAGGAGAGGGGTTTCAGCAGAGTGCAGGGACTTGAAAAGTGGAGAGGAAATGACTGATGAGTGGGGAATGTTGAGGACCGTGGTAGGTATCTCAGGTGGGGGAGTATACAGGGCTGTGTGTGACACAGAAGAGATGGCAGACACCTGATGAGCACGAGTAACACTGTCCTGGAGTGCTGCCAACTTGGCCCCCTTCTTGTGGCTGTTATTAGGGATGGTCACCACCAGTTCTTGTTCTTCTTGTGGCATTGATGCAACTTTCTGTAGGAAGATCTTTTCCAGCGTTTGTGCCATTACGACAATATTATCAGTGGGCTTGTTGTAAATGTAACAGTTGGTGAACATGGTATTTAAATCTTCCATACACTCTGAGGCAGCCCAATAATAACTGTTTTCAAGTCTCCTTTTAATAGTACCCACGTCCATAGGCTGTTTTATAATTTTGTGATAATCCTCTGGGGCTGGCTATCCATGGGCTGCATGAGGGAAAGGAAAAAGCTAAGAATTTTGGCCAGGTGGTCCTCTCCCAACCCAAGGTGGGAATTGGTAGACCCAGTTTGACAGCATCCACAGGCTTCCGGAACTGTGTGAACTGATGTTTCCACAGAGCCTCCATCACTACCTTGTGTAGGTATTGCAGCTGGTTGGTAACTCCTTCTGGCTTTTTGGGATTGGGCAAATCCTGGGGTAGTGGGTTGGCAGGGGTCAGTTGCAAAGCAGGTACCAAAGCTATTGTGTGGCTCTCAAATCATTCACACAAGAGGGAGAGTTTCCGAAACCTTTTCCCTGGTGCTACTGCTTCTGGGCCCAGCCCCAGCAACCCTCTTCCCCAGGGAGTTGGTTGTGGGGAGCCGTGTTTTGCAGCATCTTGACCGCAGGGAACCGGCGCTGCTCTCAGCCGTGGAACGTCTGGGTGGCCTCGACTTCCCTCACCGCAGCTCCAGCATAACCCGGTAAGCAGGGGGAGGCCGTTGCTCTTGGGCCTCCAAGCCACAAACCCCCTGCCCTGCCGGAACGAAAGCAGTCTCTTCCGGGACCTCCTGGAGAGCTCCGGGAAGGTTGGCTCTGCAGATGGCGGACAGCAAGAAAATGGCGGCGGCCTCAGCTGAGGAGGGCGACTAAGGAGGGACTGATTCTGCAAACCAAAAGACGGTCCCTGATCTCAGACACCGTCGTCAATATAGCCTGCTGTTAGTCTGCAGGGATCCCCTCTTCTTGTTGGGGACCCTACAGAGTGGAGGAGGTTCCGTTTAGATCTCGGACGGAGGCAGATGCACACGAAAACTGGTTTCAGAAGCCCCGGCCTCCATTTCTGAAATCCTCTTGTGGGCAGAGTAGACAGGGTGGACAGACTCCGAGGACTGGGTGGGCCCAAAACACGGGAGCTTAAAGGGCTTCTATGGGGTCTGTACTGTCCACTGGGAGCTGTCACAGGCCGGCAGGAAGGCCATTTCCAAGCAGATGGAAGGGGATTGCAGTGGCGCCCGGGACTACTCCAAGGCTCTGTATCCGTAGGCAGAATTCTCCAGCTCTCTCTAGAGGCTGCTCCACTGCAGCGCGAAATGGCGCCCCGAGCCCCCTGCCAGCCCTTTATATATAAGCGGAGAGGAGGAGCTTCCTCTCATGCTACACCGGCCTCGAGATTTCCCCCATCCCCTCTGCGAGCGCCGCTCGCTGGTGCGTTAAGAAGCTGAGTCTGAGGGGGAGGAACACCGCCCCACGGGAGCTTTTTCTATTGGCCAGCCACAGCGATGACGTCATAAACTTCATTTCCAAGGTGACAGTCCCCTGGCAGAAGAGTGCAACAGAGACCCACAGAGAAGTGCCAACCCGCCACATCTCCAAGCCAGTTGGCTGAGCTATGGTTCTGGACTCCAGGGCAAGAGGGCGGTTGGAAGGGGTGCAGAAGCCTCCAGCACCCTCTCCCCGCCTCCCCTTCCAACAAAGTCTTCCCAGGCTTCCATGCACAGGGCAACTGGAGACTGCCAAGCTTGGCCAAGTCGTTCCATTCGTAGCTCCTCTGTTGGCCAGACCAGTAGGGAAACGGGAGGGGTCAAGGTGGGGCCCCTACCTGGGGCCCGCCAGGGGTGTGGCTGCAAGACGCTGGGCTGGTGGTGGTTCTGGGAGGTAAGGCGGCTGCAGCAAAGAATTCTTAAATCTGGCCAGGCGTGGTCTCTCAAGCCTGTAATCCCAGCACTTTGGGAGGCAGAAGCGGGCAGATCACAAGGTCAGGAGATTGAGACCATCCTGGCTAACACGGTGAAACTCCCTCTCTACTAAAAATACAAAAAATTAGCCGGGCGTGGTGGCGGCACCTGTAGTCCCAGCTTCTCGGGAGGCTGAGGCAGGAGAACGGTGTGAACCCAGAAGGCGGAGCTTGCAGTGAGCCCAGACTGCACCACTGCACTCCAGGCTGGGCGAAAGTGCAAGACTCCGTCTCAAAAAAAAAAAAAAAAGAATTCCTAAGTCTTCCTCGTAATTTGGTTATCTAAATAAGGGTGCAGACTCTGGATCCTAAAGCCTTCCAGGGGGCCTCCAAAATTGCCCTCGGTTTGGTACTGGGTATGTAATCCCGGGTGTCAACCCCCCGCCCCAAAGCGAAGCCGTGTTGAGGGAGGGGGCATAGCCCCAGCCCCTCCCTTCCCGACTGAGCTAGGAGAATGGGGAGAGCATCGGGCGTGCGGCCACATCAGCAGCACCCAGACTGACTGGGGTCACGTCCCTGCTGCTCCTGCCCTTTCCCCCAGCTGGAGACCCAGTTTTCCAAACGTTCCTGAGGGTTGCTAAAGGGGCCAAGGGGGCCGCATGGCCCCAACCTATGTCCCAAAACCCAGAGCGCTAAAATGCTGCTGCTCCTCCATATCCCCAGCTTCCTATCCCACAGTCGTCACTCTGTCCCGCTACCTCACCTCTCCCTACCGGTTCAGCACGGCTGCTGTGGTGATCGTTTTTATCTAAAGAGAATAGAAAGTCCAGATGGGAAGAAATATCAGATGAAGAATTTCAGCACATTGTTTGATGATGGTATTTGGATGGTGGAATCGTTTTTCAATTAATGGGGGAAAGGTCTGGAAATCTTTAGAGCCCGTGGGAGTAAGAAGAAATTCTATTTTAAAGGAAGGTGTATCAGCAGACAAATTTCGACATCCTGCCACATCAGTGGGCTGTCAAATGTCCTGGTTTTCCATAACTAAAAGGGTTCCTGGAATATGGCTCTTTCAGTTTTAAGTCCAGAAAGGACAAACTTGAAGGAGCTAACTAGCCTATGACTCAAATAAAATGCTAAAGCCATCGGTTACTCGAATTTTAGGAAGGCACCATAAATGAGGATGAGATTCCAATTCACATATAGAAAACACTGAGGAAGAAAATGAAAAATATAGTTTAAAATAAGTAACATCTTCAGAGATACATTAGATATTAAATCCACAAAAGTAAGAAGTGCTGTTGCATATGAAAAGTTTTAGTTAATATAAATGATGCATTCAGAATGTTAAAAAACAAATATCAAAAAATGACCCAATAAGTATAATTGACCTTAACTAAAAGTCAAATAAGCAATAGAAAGTATAACCAAAAGTAAAAAAAAAAAGAAAAAAAAAAAAACAGAGAGACATTAAGAAAGAAAAGATAGGAAACTGGGAAATTGAGGCAAGAATACCAATGTACGTTTAGGGTAGTTTCTACAAATATGTAGAAAAGATAGAGAACATGAAATTGTTAAATTATTTCTCAACAAGATAGAAAGCTAATAAGGATATCCAGGAATTGAATTCAACTCTGCAAAAAGCGGACCTAACAGACATCTACAGAACTCTCCACCCCAAATCAACAGAATATACATTCTTTTCAGCACCACATCAGACTTATTCCAAAATTGACCACATAGTTGGAAGTAAAGCACTCCTCAGCAAATATAAAAGAACAGAAATTATAACAAACTGTCTCTCAGACCACAGTGCAATCAAACTAGAACTCAGGACTAAGAAACTCAGTCAAAACCGCTCAACTATGTGGAAACTGAAAAACCTGCTACTGAATGACTACTGGGTACATAACGAAATGAAGGTAGAAATAAAGATGTTCTTTGAAACCAATGAGAACAAAGATACAACATACCAGAATCTCTGGGACACATTTAAAGCAGTGTGTAGAGGGAAATTTATAGCACTAAATGCCCACAAGAGAAAGCAGGAAACATCTAAAATTGACACCCTAACATCACAATTAAAAGAACTAGAGAAGCAAGTGCAAACACATTCATAAGCTAGCAGAAGGCAAGAAATAACTAAGATTAGAGCAGAACTGAAGGAGATAGAGACACAAAAAACCCTCCAAAAAATCAATGAATCCAGGAGCTGGTTTTTTGAAACGATCAACAAAATTGATAGACCACTAGCAAGACTAATAAAGAAGAAAAGAGAGAAGAATCAAATCGACGCAATAAAAAATGATAAAGGGGATATTACCACCGACCCCACAGAAATACTACCATCAGAGAATACTATAAACACCTCCATGCAAATAAACTAGAAAACCTATAAGAAATGGATAATTTCCTGGACACTTACACTCTCCCAAGACTAAACCAGGAAGAAGTTGAATCCCTGAATAGACCAATAGCAGGCCCTGAAATTGAGGCAATAATTAATAGCCTACCACCAAAAAAAGTCCAGGACCAGATGGATTCCCAGCCGATTTCTACCAGAGGTACAAGGAGGAGTTGGTACCATTCCTTCTGAAACTATTCCAATCAACAGAAAAAGAGGGAATCCTCCCTAACTCATTTTATGAGGCCAACATCATCCTGATACCAAAGCCTGGCAGAGACACAACAAAAAAAGAGAATTTTAGACCAATATCCCTGATGAACAGCGATGCAAAAATACTCAATAAAATTCTGGCAAACCGAATCCAGCAGCACATCAAAAAGCTTATCCACCATGATCAAGTGGGCTTCATCCCTGGGATGCAAGACTGGTTCAACATACGCAAATCAATAAACGTAATCCAGCAAATGAACAGAACTAAAGACAAAAACCACAAGATTATCTCAATAGATGCAGAAAAGGCCTTTGGCAAAATTCAACAGCCCTTCATGCTAAAACTGCTCAATAAATTCGGTATTGATGGAACGTATCTCAAAATAATAAGAGCTATTTATGACAAACCCACAGCCAATATCATACTGAATGGGCAAAAACTGGAAAAATTCCCTTTGAAAACTGGCACAAGACAGGGTTGCCCTCTCACCACTCCTATTCAACACAGTGCTGGAAGTTCTGGCTAGGGCAATCAGGCAAGAGAAAGAAATCAAGGGGATTCAGTTAGGAAAAGAGGAAGTCAAATTGTCCCTGTTTGCAGATGACATGATTGTATATTTAGAAAACCCCATTGTCTCAGCCCAAAATCTCCTTAAGCTGATAAGCAACTTCAGCAAAGTCTCAGGATATAAAATCAATGTG